AACAAAAACAGGAAGAAATGCTGAAATAGAAAAAAAGGACTCACTGGATAACGTTGGGCTTAGATAAAACTGTGCTATGTTACTAGAACGAACTGAAATTTCAACCGAAATGAAAAAATTGCTTAAAAATTTATTTAAAAATAAATTCTCACAACTGCTTAGGTAGATATGCAAAAATTCCCAAAACCTTGTACAAAATATATATAAACAAAAAAAATAAACTAAAATATTTCTTAAATTTTGAAAACAACAACAATAAGAGACAAAATGTTGCACTGCAAGTTCCATAAAAAATCATCTGCACCTGAATTTTTAGTAAGTTTTCGTTAACTGGTATTTGCGATAACAGAATAACAGATACAAGAGCAGAGGAAGGACAACAAAAATAATAAAAAACAACAAGTAATAAAAGTTTTAATTCTTTAACAATTTTCGATTGAATTTTAAAATCATTAATTAAAAATTTTGCTTTATACTGGCGATCCTTGAGAGAAACCGTTTAACCAAATGCAGGAAAGTTAATCAGCATAAGTACAAAAGTGCTGTGAATCTCAATTTCTTTGAAGATCACACTAAATCAATCTAATTCCACTCTTGTGGCATTTAAACTGTGCCGTACAAGCAACGCAGACAAACTCAGAAAATACTTTGGGTTACACCTTGACAACACACTAAAGTAGAAACATAATGTCAAACAGAAATCTGACAAAACCAAATGCAAATGTCGACAAATATATTTGCTGAACGGACATCATTACGAACTTAATAGGCACATTTTTGTATCTGTCATAAAAGCGGATACATAGTCCCATACAGCCGAAACATATTACAGCGAAGGCAAAAGATATGTTAACGGATGATTACAAATATATATCGATATGGAACAAATCAAGAAATACATAAAGACTTTACAGTTAAAGGCTTCCAAGAAACCATGCAAGAAGCCGCTGCTAGGCATGACCATCGATTAATCAATCACACCAATGTAGAAGTTATTAAACTCTTGGATATCACCAATGAACTAAGAAGGAGCTGAACACTGGTTCAGTAAATCCACATATGTCTCTCTTAATATCTATTTATATATTATATGCTAGCAATGAGAACATTTATTTTTTCATAAATAAGTTTCGGGATTAAGTTTTCTGAGATTAGAAATTAATCAATACTAATTTTAATTGTTTAATCCTCAGCGGTATTTCATTTCCCACCTTCTCAGTTCTGCAAACTGTTGAGCTTCCCAGACACATTCATCTTGGCGACGCAAACTCTACAACTACAAATGCCACCAGTGACATTCCCCATTCGTTATATTATAGACCCACAATATCAATTTTCATAAAATATGTATCCGAATTTTATGATGGACTATTATTTGATAACTTACATGGTCATTAAGAAGCATTATCTGAAATTGTTAAAATAAGATCCAAGCTTCCAAAAGTATTAATAAAATTTGCAAGGTGCTTTAAACGACTATAAGTTAAAGTTGGAAGACATAACTCACTATTATTCATAGTTTTTCCTAATCCAATCTAAAATAATGGATACCTAAAACAAATATGTGATGTCCGTATTGAAACAAACACGAATATTGCTTTCGGGCCTCTTGTCTTAAATATCATAATAATAAAATAATTAAATATCAAAATAATAAAAATTTTCAAAAGAAGATGTGTACTACTTTGAGAATTATTGTGTCATACTACCTACTTCAGTTCCATAGACAAGTAGCAGTTAAGAAAGCCAAAGGATATTGGAGAGATGTTGCCTGATTCCGTTATAAGTGGATAGGCAGTGTATAAGTACCGAAGTCTGAGTCTGGCAAGACTATCACTGTGACATAGAATGTGTTCTGCTATTATCTCTTCTCTGCAACAAAACTGCAGCTACCATCTCTAGTAATACCTAGGTTCAATAGATGCTTTTTAACTCCGCAGTGCCCAATGAGAAACCCTGTGACAAATCGAATGCCACTTCTCTCCAACATAAGTAGCTCCCTAGTTCTGGCTTTTGATCGATACGACATGGATTCTTTAGCTTGCCTGCAGGTGATTGTATAATCCTAATCAGTCTTAAGTGCTCCTTCCAGCTACTTATTATTTTAAGTTTGAAGAAGGTCCATAAAGGTCCGCAGAATGGTTATGGCCCAATATAATATCAGGCTAGTTCATCTGCTTTTTCTCGCTAATTCATCTGCTTTTTCGTTTCCCTCAAATCCGCTGTGCCCTTGGATGCATATTAAGTGAACCCAGTTCTTTTCAGCAAGGTCTTCGAGAAGTAGAAGGCATTCTCACACTAGTTTTGAGGTTACTCTAGGTGAGTTTAGTGCTTGGAGTGCAGAAATGTTTTTTTCTGTGACAGGTTTTCCTTTATGTATTCTAAAACGTAGTTCAATTGCATGTACTTCAGCTTTAAAAATTGAGTTTTCTTGATTTATACTCGCACAGATGATAGTCTCCAACTAATAGAGGTATGTTCCGTTCCCATTCAAATCTATCTGAACTTTATATTGAAATAAGTGAGAAGTCCGTGCACAAATTCGTTACGCACTACTTTTAGGTGGAATTGTGAAGTCAAAACCGAACTTCTGTGTTGTATATAGAACCAAGTCCTTTGTTAATTATGAGTTTCTAACTAAACGACTTGAATTGACATCAGCAATAAAAGGAGCCATGATGACCTCTTTACACGTAGACTATGGTACCAGCAATTAATATAATGAATCATTGGATTAATGGCTGGTTGATTAGTTGGTTACAGTAGCGGAATAACTATTCATTGAATTCAATTAGCGATTTTTCGCATAGAAAGACAAAAACTAAATTCATTCCGTCGAGATTAGACATTTTAATAAGTCTTTCGACTACCGATGAACAGTCCAATAAACTGACAAAAAGTACTTCCTTGAAAACTTGTTTCTTCTGCACGTCTAAGTCAGGCATTCACAGAGAAAATGTTTTATGGTTTCTTTTTCTTGCAGGTTTCCACAACTTCTGCAATATGCATTATAAGAAGTTTATAATGAGTGTATTATACATGTACTGCAGTAAACCTTGCAGTATTCATATAATGCCTTTTGATAAATTCCCAAGATGTTTTGTTGTTGTGACCGGGCCATGTTGACCAGAAAGTTGCACATGACTAAAGTGATTTCCATTTTTTATTAACAAATTGAAGAAAGCAGGGGTAAGTGCTCGTAAATTGCCATTTACTTTCTTTTACATTCTTTGATTTTGTTATAAAAGATTCCTGAGGTTTGGTTGTCGTCTGGCTCCTAATCAAAATGGCAATACTACATCTGTTCTTGATTTGATTTGCAATTAAACGACATGCTTCCTTAATCGCTAAAATTCAACCGCACAGTAAGCCATTTCAAGTCACGGGCATTACTTATATCTGCAAATGGCTTGAAAATTTCTGCGCCTACATCGCAGTCTATTTCCGTGTTTCCGTGAAGTTGAAATATCGTGATTGCTTAAAAGATCTTTTCTATTTATTTCTTGACGGATTAGTGGATATTTAACATTAATAACGGCACACAGTAATGCATAGTTTCGCGTTACTAATTAGTTATTAAATATAGAATATAGTAACTGTATAATCTCAACCAATTCAGTCGGAGGAAAGAATATCAACTTTTGAACTCCCAAATCAATTTCATTTATTTCATTGCATTGAGAAATGCAAACATTTGAACTTTATTCTTAAGTTTTTCTTTTGGTATTCCCTGATGCGCACTTTAATCAAAGAATGATATCATATCATCTATTCCAACTGGTACAGTAGCTGAATTCTCTATAACGTTATTTTCACAATCGGTAACAGTTCCATTGTCACTCGCAGTTTGCTTTACATCATGACACTATGGGTACAAATAAATAAGTACACAAATGATCGTAATAAGTCATTATGAACTATATTGGACTATATATGGACTTATTTCAAATAAACTCTTAAAATGGTATTTATTGTTGACCATTCGTTAAGTTAGATTCTACAGTGAAAAAATATAGTTTGGTTCTACCAAAACTACAAGTTCTCAATGGAAATTGTGCACTTCACCTTTTTTAAATTTAAAAGTTCCAGAGCAATACATAATATGTAAGAATAGTTCTATCTGTCTTAGATAGATGGGTATGAATATCAGATTGTCTCGAAAAAGTCAAGTTTACTTTGACTCAAGGCTTAATTACTTTATTGTTAAAATATTGGCATATATTTTTTTAATATAGAATATACTTCTTCTTTTCCATCTGATTGTGCTGCCAGTAATGTAGACATTAACTCTTAGAGAGCTGTGTTACCTATTCTTTGTTTACCTTACAAAAGAGTAAGATACGCAGTTGTGTATCATGAAAGTAGCAAGCGTATATGGGGCTGTTATTAAGTGTGTCTAATATTAATATTTCCTATATTATACACGGTGTGAAAAGACATCCTATAGTGAAATGCAACATACACACATCTTCCCAAGTGTGGTGAACCAACGGCAAAGGCATTAACAATAATTCCTAATTAACAATAATTCCTAACTTAATAAAATTCCTAATATTATTAAGTCATTAAATACGACGTTAGATCTGAGATTATTATACAACCAACTTAAAAAGTTATAAAAACGAGTACGATTGTGGAATATAACTAAGCCACTGACGGATCAGACGATGGAAAATAGACATCTGGCAATACCTCAGCAATAACATGATTTTGAACTTAGTTTTGAGCCTAATTTCTCTCTCTCTTTCTCTTTCACTCTCACTTTCATATCAGTTTGTTTACTGAGAGCGCATGTCTATGAGTTGACCTACGATGACTATTGTGGTTATTGGAAGCAATAATAGAATAAAACAGAAAAATCAAATGTTTGATAAGTTAAAGTTTTAATAAAATATAGTCCAGTCCATTATTGATTTCATTTTCAACTACGTATTAAAAGCAAATTTGATATTAACTATCGAACTTTTATATTCGTATACCGGCTAAGTTGTGTTTATGCTTCAGATGTTCTCTTCATGATTAGACATTAAATGGATTTCTTTGATAAGATCATCGATGCGTTTATTTCTTAATTCCAACATTTTCTCTATACGTGCAATCTTATTGTGAGCAATTTTCAAAATCTTTCTGTTAGCAGTTAAATAATCTTTAGCTTCTTCAAAGAGAGCATATCGAATCATTTTCTGCGGCACTTGAGTGATAGTTTTACCAATCTTCTTGTTAACACTAACGATAATGACATCCTTATCTTCGTTCCAATTCATATCTCCGCAAGCCGACTTTATTTTGTTTGCTAGCTTTCCTCGCTCAAACAGCATAACCTGGGTAAGAAGAATTTCAATAACGCCTGGCACAGATTTCGCCAATTTTTCCATTAGTACATTACTTAGTGTCATTTGTATTTTGGTAAATACTTTGGTATTCATCGTTTTCCAATTGTATAACTTTGATTTGACCCCGTTGCATTTTGAATAGTTATGAACATCAATTTTTTTTGGTATAATTTGTTTGAGTAAAATGGCCATCAGTACGGAGTCCGAGAAATCCCGATTTAGTTTTTGAAATGTGATCTTATGGTCTTTCAACCAATCGAGTAACTCATTAAGTTCATATTTAGTAAGTGGCTTAATTTTTTGGTTCCAGTATATTTGTTCACTACTTCGTATGCTCATTTTACAATAATTTTGTTTTTTTCTTTCCATAAGACTATTAGAATTTTGGATTGGATGTCACAAGTTTTGATTATTGATAATAAATTTATTACAAAAATATTTCTTGTTAAATTTTATTTAAAAGTTAACTATTTTCAAGCCTACTTATGTATTACTTATTAAAGTAAACACAATAAGGGCCTTGTTATATAAAATGTTATATCCCATCAAAAGTGGCTATTTTTGGCTTTGACGGAAATGCATGTTATGCAGAACATCACAGAAATTGTAATAATTTGTTTCGAAAAGACACAAATGTTAGCAGATAGCCCCAGCTCTCATGATGAAATGTAACCACAAATATTCTTTTTGTCTCTCACTCTCAATTTCATAATTTGTATTGAGAGCCACAATTTTGCTCTTGATGAGCCCATAACACTCTACGTAACATAGCCCTTAGAGAAAATTGTTAAAGATTGTATCGACCAATTGGCATTGAAATCAGCTACCATTTTTTGAGTTGTCATAAAATTATTTTGACTATATAACTACTTTGTTAGTCTCTCCTTACATTTCATAAGTCACGATGTGTTTCTGTCATATCGTCAGTAAGAGACATGTTTCAGAAACAATAAAAAAATTTTTACTACATATGCTGTTTTGGATTAGTAAACCTGGGGCAACTTTTTTAATCGAAATTCACTTTCAGAGCAATTATCATATTTGATTGGTAAATCTGTATAGAACTCGAGATTTATGTGTCTCACTTGATATTAATTTATATCACTTTCAAATAAAAAGCTGTTTCATATAAAGTATGATAGAGAGTATGGTATAGAGCATGATTTTATTCGATGCATGTACCCAGCAGCGCCTGGGACTTGTTCTGAACTAGCAAATTCATTAATCCTCAAGTGTAAGGTACTAGTCGCTTCCTAATCCACTTCATGTGGGCTCAACTCGTGAATTTTACAATGAGTTGTCATTGCCGGTGTCAATTTTTCAGTTTGATGCACCTCGATACTAGTCTTTTCACTAGTTCATAAGCAGTAGAATTGTCCCCGTCCACACATCGCTAACTTACCGTATCTAAATTTTTTTCATTCGTGTCCATCGCGACGCGTTTTAATGACTTGCATTTCCATTGTTACGCACACTATTTATTTTGTATATTATTTTATTAAAAACTAATTATTATTTTATTAAAATTATTAATTACGTAGAAAAAATTAGTAAACGTATAGAATTAATTTTAAATTTAATAAAAATGTCACTGGCTTACAGCCAAAAATTTCCAAAGACGAGACCCATATTTCCTATAGGGAAATTTTCCGTAGAAATCGGAAATCACAACAATTTGTTTTCCTGTGTAGTGTTTTCGAGTTATATGCAAAAAACCGTTATTTTGACTTTTTTCAAAACATCACCCTACATATGTTCCCATAACTTTTTTTGTGAAGTTTACCTAATAGACCACTCTAATTTGTGATTGACTTTCTTTGTTCCTCATTTGTTTCGGTTTTCTTCTGTTCAAAAATCATAGAATTTACTATTACCGGACCAATCATTTCACTAGTTCCTTTGGACTAGTTCGTGTACAAATCAAGAGAGTGTTCAAAACAATAACGTATTGATACGAAGTGTCAATTAACAAGCCATTGAAATATATTTAGAAATTTCCACGGTACCAATGAAAACACGCATGCAAGGTATAACTTCCATATTAGTGCAATGCGAGCCTCTTATTCAACCTCTGACGATTTTTGGGTCACAGCACCCGGTGGTAAACACGCAATTCCACGCCAAATGCAACTATTGAACTGAACATTCTCAACTGAACATTTAACCGAACATTCTTCTGACCCCCGTCGTATCGGACTTGCACCTCCGCTCAAGTGTCGCAAGTGCAGACCTCACTACCATGCACACTTCCTACATAAGGGTCGGCGAGGCACCGGAATTTTAGTCGCCTTTTACGACATTCATGCCTTACCTCGGGAATATTCTAACCCCTACATCGCAGGAGGTGCGTACAAGTCTCAGTATTATGAAAAACATGCTCCAGATAAGCAATCCTATGGTGCTTCATGAACAATTTTCATTCTTAATTTCTTCTTCTTAATTTTTAAGTAGCCGCTATCTTTAGTAAACGATGGGAACATCGCATTTCTAAACCTTATGGTTTGTTAATAGGTATTACTTCAAGTGTTCGTGCCAAAAATAAAAGAAACCACGCATAACTTTTTATGTATCGTATTTGTTGTTTTGTATTTAATTTATATTTAGTTAAAATTTTCACAAATTTTAAGAAAGCATTTCTGACCATCTCGAACCTTCCTTACCCTGATTTCAGGGATGATTCGCCTCAGCTTAGATATTTAAAAGACTGTATGCGATTAATCAGTTAATTGTTACCCTTAGCATTTATTTCGACATACTGATTTTGTTACACAACAATATTGTTTTATTTTATTTATAATATTGTTTATAATATTATTTATTTTACATTTAGGTATATTTAATCCAAACAGTTAACTCTCTTTATTTATCATATTTATTAATTATTGCAAGTAATCCAACTGATCAGTGAAAAAGATTGTACTGTCTGTATATTTTATACTATTTTGCGGTTTGCACACTAACTCTTATTTATAGCGCCAATAGGCTCCTAATTCTATTGTCAAATATATTCAAAGTAATTAAGTAACAGTGGGAAAAATGTATACTCTTATCATACTCCCCGATTTATTCTAATAACAATATCCTAATAGCCAGTTATGCTCGTATCTCAACAATTTGGTTTCAATACTAATCCTTAGTTGCATTACGCTTTTCCATCAATAACTATTTTTCAGGGTTTTCTTATCCGTAGGTTGTGTCGTACTCTGTTCATAATCCATGAAACATAAGAATACAGCTTACTTAACATCCCTGCAAATTTGCACAGGAACTTGCATACTAAATAATGTCACATTCTTGTTACCACACATTTGTTGTAGATTCTCCTTTGAATAATATTGAGGTAACAGTGAATATGAAATACTATTTAGCATCGTGAATTACTTATATGAAAACTGACGCTAAAAGCGGCCAGATTTTTGGAAGATTAACTCATTGATTTTCATCACGTTAGTGCAACATGGCACTTTGGTCTTCCTTGTGCCAGAGTAATTCGCAAAAAACTCAAGAAACGTATGCAGAGCTGTGCAAAATCAATTAAATTACAAATTAAATTACAATTACAGAGTAATTATAATTGATAATTGAATTTCCAGATTATATGTGTAATTTAATTGAAAACTTCAATTACGAATTACAGTATAATCTTAATTTGTAATTTAGTTTCTGAATTACAGTCATAATTGAAATTGAAAAACCAAATTTCAAATTACGTGTAATTTGCAAAAATAATCTAGAGAAGAAGAAGCATTGAAACTTTTGAAAGATGATAAACGAATCGAAACTATGGTTGGATTTTGGGTTGTAAGTGGCCCGCATTTTGTTTGCGCCTTCATTCATAGTATTTTGTTGGGTTGCTTGTTTTTGTTTTTTACATTTGGTGTGTAGAAGTGTTCCATTAGAACTTCAAAGCAGATCAAGAGGCAGAAAAATTTTTTCTTTTGTACGCAAATCGAAATCTGAATATGTTGCATTGTTGCTTTTTTCATGAAGTTGTCAATTTAATATTGCTGTTTTTTTTTGTATTTCTGTCTTGTGCAGTGATCGAAAATATGTATTTAGAAATGTGTATACTTGTTTCATTTGTTCGGTTGCGTGTGTACTTTTCTATGCTTTTGCTCTATGATATTTGTTTGTTTTGCTTGTATGTTTTTTTTGTTTTGGATTGTAGTTTTTTTTTATGAAATTTAGGAAGGTGTCTACTTCGCATGATTTTTTTTTTGTTTTAAGCGCTGATATGCATGTGTGTCAGAATGTGTATACATTTTGTTGTTTTTTTTGTTTAATTGATTGAACATTTGACTATGAGTTGCGCGTAAATTTTTTTGAAGCAAATTTGGAAAGATCGTTGTTTTTGTGCATCAAATAAATATATGCAAATTTGTAAGCAGTATATGTATGTGTGTACAATGTGTATGCAAATAATATAATTTTATCTGTAATGAGATTATGCCTACATTTATGTTTTAAGAATTATTTTTATTGCTAAATACGATTTAGAAATTATAATAACAAAAATGAGTAAAAATATGTAGTTTAAGAATAAAATTTTTGGACAAACTCTTATGCTGGATGTATATTTGGTTTTGTATGTGCAATAATTTTTTATTGAATATTTATTAAATGGTTAATTGCATACAATGTTTAATTTTTCCCTGTTATATACGTATATGTGTATTTTTATATTTCTGAATATAATCAATAATTTTAATAACTAATTTTTATTAATATCGTCTAGTGATAATATGCATGTATATATAAAATTTTTAAAATTATATATTTCAATATTTTGTAGCAATGTGATAACAATATCAAATATACTTTAAAAATTTATATTTCAATTTAATATGAATGCACTCGGTACAAATATTTTCAGAAAAAAATCAGTAGTAATAAGCGTGCATTTAAGGGTTTTGCCCAGTTTTATTTTTTTGTTTTTTGTTTTAAGCGAATGTGTGTACTTTTCTTCTTTTTTTTTGGTTTGACTGATTTCACATTTGCTTATGCGTACCGCCTGAATTTTTATAAGCAAATTTGGGAAGATCGTTTTTTTTGTAAGCAGTATATGTGTGTACAACGTGTATGCAAATATAAGTACAAGTTTATCTTTATGCCTACATTTGTTTTTGTAAGCGATAATGTGCATATTGATACGTTTTGTTGATTGTCTAGTTGATTAAGAATAAAGAAAAGAAAAAATTTAACTTACGCACTTTGGTTTTATAATTTAAGACAGTAAATAAATAAATTTACATAATTTATTTAATTTAATAAATAAATTTATTTGTTATTAAAACAAATATAATATATCTTTAAATGTAAATTTTAAATTTATGTTAAAA